GGTTGAACATGGTGAAAAGGTTATGGTTACCCTATTTTAGCCAACACGCTCTCACTCCCAACTCATCCAAACGTTGGTTTTGTTTCAACTTGTTGCTGCATTTTTTTCTGGCCAACCCTGCAGCCCCCACCACTGCAGCCTAATCACACTTCCCCCATTCAAAATGAATGAGAGGAGTGGTGTTTCTGCCGCAGTGCCCGATTTGGATAAATATGCAGCGTTAAGTTACAGTTTCAAAATTAAGTTATGTTACATACCTGATGTAACTTAAATACGTTTCACATGAGGCACGAACAGTGGTCTCCTGGCTGAAAATCCTGTGTATGTTTGGGCCATCCATCAACCCTTTCATATGCAAACTTTCTCGCCTTTTATATGACTTCATCTGGATTTAGCAGCACACTACGATACATGGGCGCATCCAGACATGATGCTAGGGTGGTACCTACAGCACCATATTTTAAAGCTTAGAGCCACTGACCAAAGGGCACTATTTGAGTTGGGAGTGAGAATGAGCTGATCTTAGCATAGGTTAGCCTAGTCCATAATTTTAAACCCTATATCAATACTGCAGTTACAGTACTCCACTGTTTTAGGTTTAATATTCCTAAGAACAGAGTGCACATTCAGAATTGGTTGTTTATGTGGTGGACTGATTTCAAAGACGTTTGGTTTGTTTTATATTCCAAAATAACATATGCAATAACCTTGAAAAAAATGACACATTCTTATTCTTATTTCGTATGAGATAACTTTAAGTGCTTCATATTAGAACTGTTTTGTGTATTAGTGTTCTGTTATAGTACAGCCCAGTTCTTTAAATTCCAATCCTAAACATTGTTTACTGAGCTAGATTTTGTTTTGCAATGCTGAGACGTGACACTAAAATATGAATATTATTCAGCAATACAACAATCAAAATGTTGACTTCAACAATGGGGACACAACAGGGAATCAGTCAACAGCAAGCACAGTCGTAAACTGCTGTCACAGTTCTTTGTCAAGAATATGAGATGAATTCACATGAATACAATAATACTTATTATCCTGAGGGAAATTGAAGTTGCAATGCCTAGCACAAAGAATTATGCATATCATGCACAACAGCGGACACCAGTGAAATCCTAAATTGAATAAATATAGATTGTATTTATATGAAGCATGGTTGCTTACCTCAATGCAGATGAAAGCAGAAATCCTCTCGGTATATTAAAATGGCATTTCATTGCAGTGCTGAACATACTGTACTGTCACTTTGTAACACTTTACTTTTACAAATTGCATGTTGTACATTGTCTTTAAAAAAATAATGAATGAATAAATCATTACATCCCTTGTGTTCAGTGGACCATTTGTCCACACTGATAAGAAATCGGTAATAGTACTAGTAAAAAAAAATAAAACAACACAGTTCAATACATGAGCTACAATAAGTCTGTGGGCAACATACAACACTTTAATGCACTTTTTACTCTGCATTACTACTGTTCAGTGCTCTAAGCACTCTCATTCAGCACTTTATATCTTAGCCAGTGACAGCAGC